AAATTAACCCTCACAAGATGGCTGCCTACAACCAGGCGGGCAGGGGGGATAATGAGGGACTACCAAACGACTGAACAAGCAAGCTGCATGCGGCAACCAGGCTGGCAGGGGGGTTAGTGAGGGACAACCAAATGACTGAACAACAGGCTGCATGGGGCGACCAGGCTGGCGGGTGAGCCGTGAGGGGCGACCAGGCCAGCAGGGGGGGAAGCTGGGGGCTACCAGGCCAGCAGTGGGGGGGCAGTTAAGGGCGACCAGGCAAGCAGGCAGGTGAGTGATTAGGAGCCAGTGGTCCAGGATTGTGAGAGGGATGTCCCAAATTGGAGAGAGTGCAGGCTTGGCTGAGGGGACCGCCCCACCCCCGTGCACAAATTTCGTGCACCAGGCATATAGTATATATATAAAAGCCTAATATGCTAACTGTCCAACTAATCGGTCGACCATTTGGACAACTGCTCGACCAGTCACTATGATGCGCACTGACCACCAGGGGGCAGATGCTCCGATTGGTAGGTTAGCTTTCTATTGGGGTCTGGCTGATGGGGACTGGACGAGACAGGCCAGACACACCCTGGAGCCCCCCCCACAGTCCCTGAAGGCCAGCCTGCCAGCCCCAGTCAACCCCAATTGGGACTGGGCGAGACAGGCTGGACACTCCCTGAAGCCCTCCTGCGGTCCCTCCCTGGCCTCTAAAATATTTTTTCTAATTAATTTCCTTTCAGTGTATACAAATTCGTGCACTGGGCCTCTAGTATATAAATACAACCCACCCAAACATTAAAAAAAAATAGAAGGGTATATTCTACAACCTTGAATACTGCAAAGAGGTAAGAAAATGAATAAAGAATGTCCATTGGAGTTGGCAATTAGGAGGTTATTAGTGATTTCTGAGAAAGCAAATTGTTAGGTTAGGTGGCTCAGGAGGCGGCGTAAGAAATAGAGAGTCCAGTGAATCAGAAAAGAAAGGAAAGGAAAGTTTATTTCTGCGTCCCCCGAAGACCCACGTACCCCCCAAAGACAGGGCACGTGGATTCACGCCAACAGGGAGGGGGGCGCTGTTTTTATACTGCGGTTGGGTGAGGGGCAGGGACATGAGCTGAGGTATTCAGTTGAGGAAGTTTCAGCTGCAGGGGGGTCAGCAAGGTATTCAGGAATGAGTCAGTATCTGTGTGGGGGTATGTGGATTCAGGGAGAAGAAGCCGGTATCTGTGTCTGGCACGTTGATCTGTGAGAAATTCCAGGGGGAGTCCATTGTCTCACCACATGTCTGCATGTATCCGATCCTGGGCTCTCTCCGACCTAACACAAATAATGAGTAAGAAGTTAGAACAAAGAAGGCAGTGGCTAGAAGGTGACAAAAAAGAGTTTTTGGTGGAAGTTCTGTTTTTATTTGGAAAAGCTTTGGCTACATGTTTCAGATGAATAGAAGGAAGTAATAGAAAAAAGAGAGAGAAAATTAGAGGAGCCATGAGGGTCATCAGTGAGAAAAGGAAACACTATTCCCTCAATAAACATATAAACATTGGGCTTTATCTATACACTAGAGGCCTGGTGCACGAAATTCATGCACTTGGGGGGGCGGAGGGGGGTCCTCAGCCCCAGCCTGTGCCCTCTTGCAGTCTAGGAGCCCTTGGGGGATATCCGACTGATGTCTTAGGCCTACTCCCAGTGTGGGAGCCTGGCTTCTGGCTGAGCAGCGCTCCCCCTGTGGGAGTGCACTGACCACCAGGGGGCAGCTCCTGCATTGAGTATCTGCCCCCTGGTGGTCAGTGTGCATCATAGCAACCGGTTGTTCCACCATTTGGTCAATTTGCATATTAGCCTTTTATTATATAGGATAAGATAAAGGAACTATTGTCTCCTTCTGGTGAACTGAATCAAGTGGTTTTTCATGATTATAAAGGAGAACATTTTATTTTCATATGGGCTGTACCAAACATGTCCCTTAGTGAAATGGAGTATTTTAACAATTTTCAGGTAGAACATTTAATAGCTCCTAAATTCACTTGATGGCTAACACAGTAAAGAATAGTGAATGGTACCTCTGCTGGTACCAAAGGTTCTGTGTTTCAGTGAGTTTCACTGTTCATAGCTGGGTTGCTACTAGATTTCATTATAGTGTAAATCAAGGCAGCTTGAAAATCCACATTGTGTCTCTGCTCTAAAATAACTGCTGTCTAAACACACCTCAGTAGTGTTCCAGAGAGAGTGTATTGTTCTCTCCAAATAATAATAATGAATTGCAATATATAAAATGATTTTGACTAAGTGGCTCTTATATTTGAACAAACAAAAAGACACGACACTCCATTGCCCATTTTGCCATTTCTTTCTCTCTGTCAGGCTGAACCAAGTGTTGCCACTTCCGATGCAGCTGTGGACTTCAGTTCATTTACAAACGTGCAACATCTGGAGCTTCCCAAGGTAAATCTGCTTTGATTTGGAGTGAAATGATATTCACATTGCTGTCCTCATCCACTGGTTCTCAAAAGTGTGGTCTCCACCAGCAACATCAGTTAGCATTACCTAGGATCTTGTTAGAAATGCAGATGCTTGGGGCAACTCAGACCTACTGAGTAACGGGGTGGCCCGCAGCCTGTGTTTCACTAAGCCTTCTCAGTGACTGCAATGAATGCTGAAGGGTGAGGACCCCTGTGCTAACTGATACTTTAGTAGGGACCCTCCTTTTCCTCCTTTATGGTACCCCAAGGTACGAGATTTTGTGGTCCCTCCTTTGATCTATTTACCAGGGATCTGCCAAGGGGGAAATTAGAGAATAAAGAAACAGAAACGATGGTTTCTTTTCCTTCATAAAATGGAAAGCTCCAATTCTAGAAGTTTCACTGATAGACACCAGTGAGGAATTTGCTTTTGAGAAGATCAGAACCTTAAGTTCAAATGACCACTTTAAAAAAGTAGTTTGCTGAATAGAAACCTATACAGGCTGTTAGGTGCTGCAGGGCCATGCTGGTCTGCAGGTGGACAGTGGATGAACGAGAGTACAGGCAGAAAGAGCATTGGAGAGCTGAGGGGGGAGAGAAAGAGGGAGGAGGGGGCGGATAGGAGGGTACTTAATGAGATGCTGCCACGTTCCAGGTGTCAGTCAGTGCAGCATGATGCTGAGGCCGAGCGTTAGAAGCAGTGCCTCAGGGTTGAGGACCCACTTCATCAGGTATACACTTGACACATTGTGTGATCTCCCTTGGCCTCAGTCTTCTCACCTTTAAACTGGAGAGGACAATATGATCTTTGATGTAGGTAATTGTAAAGATTAAATGAGTTGTTTATCAAGTGGTTAGCATAAGGCCTGGCACATGGTCAGACCCTGTTAAGCATTTAGGAGAAAAAAATACTGTGACTTTATTGGTTGCTTTTTTACAGTAGATAATTCTGCATTTACATGTAAGAGAAGTCCTTCTTAATGGGCAATTCGTGTTGTAGGTTAGAGAGAAAAGAACAGAAGTCATTAAAGCCTTTTCCTCTTCTACCAAGAAGTCTATACACTTCAAGAATCCCTCATGCTATTTCCATGTAAGAGAGCCAATACCTTCCTCTTTCCCCTGCTGATTTCAGGGTAGTGTTACCTTTCCCAAGTCCCTAATACATTCCTTGCAAGAATCCTTTACTTCATCAAACTGACTTGAATCAAGAGCCCATGGAAATTATTTTAAGAATTCATCTCTCTTTGCCTTTGCTTATATCAGGATGTCCTTCTGCTTTTTTTAAAGCTAATCTAAATCCTACATAACTCAAGACCTAGCATAATCTCACCTCTGTTTATTTAGAAATATTTCTTCAATATTATGGCCTATATAATGCTTACTATTAATGTCTTCATTTACTTGTCATGTAATCAAGAACATATCTCTTATGCTAAACTTTTAGGTGAGTATATTATCTATACATTTCAATTGCACGCTGAGAGAAGTAATAACTCTTACACTTTCTCTCCCATTATCTTATGTGGAATTGTGTACCATAGCTCATACTAAGCATTAAGGAGGAAGAGTGAATGCATGCTTACACATAGTATGTGCACAAGGGGAAAGATGTTAAGATAGGGAGAGGCAGGAAGGAGAGAATAGTTTTTGTATGAAAATTCGAACTCATGTAACAGGTCATTTTGAGTTCTGTTTTGACTCCTTAGAAACTACCTTGACAGGTCTATTATCTTTTTCTTTTTAATTTTTTTTTAAGTGGGAAAATAAAAGTATAAGCAAAAAGCTCATAATGTGTATGTAGTTTATAAATGTACACCCAGTGGCTGACTGAAATGCTAATTCAGTTTAACAGACATATTTTTTTGTTAAAGATTTATTTTTAGCACATTTTGTGTAAGGAAATACATATACATCAAAGCAGGTAACAACATTACATGAGTCCCAGAGATCTGTTTCATATCCAGTTAATTTTATATGGTGACAGTCTTCAAATACAATTAAGAGTTTTTCTTCTAAATTTTAGGATATCTTCCAACTTAAAAACAGTCCTCCTGATAATAAGAGTAGTTTGTTTAGTTTATTTCTACTTTTAATTCCTGTTTACTTTTTTTTTTAGCTCTTTAATTGTACAAGTGTTCCTCCATAAATATATTTCCTTAATTTGTTTCACATTCCCCTTATGGTGATGTTTTTTTATTTTTTATTTTTTGATGATGTTTTAAAAACTAGCTCAAAGCAAAGTTTCTAAGATCTATTTTTATTAAGGACTCTGTGTGCTGTGGCAGAAGTGAGGTGGAAAGTTGAGCAATTAGAAAAGAATTATATAGGATAAGATAAACGAACTATTGTCTCCTTCTGGTGAACTGAATCAAGTGGTTTTTCATGATTATAAAGGAGAACATTTTATTTTCATATGGGCTGTACCAAACATGTCCCTTAGTGAAATGGAGTATTTTAACAATTTTCAGGTAGAACATTTAATAGCTCCTAAATTCACTTGATGGCTAACACAGTAAAGAATAGTGAATGGTACCTCTGCTGGTACCAAAGGTTCTGTGTTTCAGTGAGTTTCACTGTTCATAGCTGGGTTGCTACTAGATTTCATTATAGTGTAAATCAAGGCAGCTTGAAAATCCACATTGTGTCTCTGCTCTAAAATAACTGCTGTCTAAACACACCACAGTAGTGTTCCGGAGAGAGAAACACTCACACCCCATTATCCGTACTTACCTGACAATCCATTATTGTCTATAGAAGTGTATGTATTTGTTTTTGTAGTATATTCTAAGTGGGATTGCAGCATATTTATACAAAAACAGACTCCATCAGTCTTAAAGAAGGGATTTCTGGCCTCAGGACAGTTGACCTTGTGGCTCAGCAATGTCATAAGGGCCCATTCTTCCTGCCCCTGCACAGCTGTACACCGTGGCATCTTGACCCCAAGACTGGTCCTCCTCATAGTTTTAGAGTGGCTGCGAACCATAATGGGGGTCACGGGCTACTTCTCTCACATATAGTGGGGGTTGGGAGATAGAGTGACTATCTCAAACTTCTGAGCAAAAATCTTGAAATTCATCCTGTTGAACCAGTTCAGGTCATATACCTTTTCCTAAGCCATGGAATAGAATTGTGCAACTAACTTCAGTCATTCAGACTCTATCTGTGGAGCTACTTTTCTATTGCTACATAAGAAATTCCCTCCAAAATTAATGGTTAAAACAGTAGACATCTATTATTCTCACAGTTTCTGTGTGTCAGGAATTCGGGAGCAGTTTAGCTGGGTGGTCTGGTTCAGACTCACTTGTACAGTTGCTAAAAAACTGCCAGCTAGGGCTGCAACTCGTCTGAAGATTTGGTTGGTGCTGGAGGACCCACAGCCAACCAAGACGGTTTACTTACAGGGCTGCTGGCAAGACGCCTGTTTTCTCTGCATGGAGCTGCTTTAGTGCCCTCGTGGCATGGCCCCTGGCATGGCAAATGACCCAAGAAAAAAAGCAAGGAGGAAGCTCAGAAGCCCTTTTTGACAAAGTTGTGCAATTGCACATCATCACTTCTCCTTTATTTTGTTTATTACCATCAGGTCACCAAGCCCAGCCCAACTCAAGAATCCCTTCTTGAAGGGAAGAACATCAAAGGGTTTGTGTACATAACTGAACACCATCACTGAAAACATAGGCAAAGAGAGAGGGGGAGAGTGTGTGTTATTTGAGGCAGCAGAGGGAGGGGGACTGGATAGTCTAATGAAAATACATGAGTTTGTACAAAGGAGTAAGATGAGAATGAGTATTAGATAACCAGCCAGCAAATGCCTGCTGTAATAGTAAAGAACTTTCCTGATTACAATTAAGTGAATAGAGAATAATAGAACAAATATATCTATATCTCACTATAGATATAGAGTATTACTTATTCAAACAAAGGTTTCTTTGTAATAATAGGAAAGACCATTACTGTGGAAAATCCCAAATAGAGGGTAACTAAATTGTTTATGCTTTGCATTGGCATTGGGATTTGCCAGTGTGGTATCACACTAATCTTCCTATTCATCAAGCCTGATTCTTTGACTGCTGGATCAGAGTTTGGGGTTTCAGAATACTGGCATGTTTTAAGAATTCATCTGAAGTAACCTTGGTTTTGTCCTGTAGAGTTATTAGCAGAAGGAATATGTGTTAGAACAACACTTGTGCAATGCATTAAGCTTTCAAGCCCTTTCTTACTGCACTTAATCCTCACAGCAGCCTTGCTGTTGGGCAAATATTATTATTCCTTTTTTGTTTGTTTTTAGATAAGTAAATTGAGGTTTAGAGATATTAAGTGGCATATCCAGATTTCTTCAGCTAGGCAGGAAGTAAATTAGGACCGAGTTCTGTTCACCCTAAAAGTGCAGTTTTGTCTTCTGTCCATGACTGATTGCCTGAAGGAGAGCAGTGGTGGACAGATGCCCAGGGAGAGCCTGCAGGTTGGCAGGCGTTGGGTATCTCCCCCAGAAAAGCCGCATGCTGGCAATCTTTAAAGGTAGGGAACCTGGCCTGGATGTCATGGTCAAGATCCTAAAGGCCTGATAACAAGCTTTGGCTCTTGTATACCTTTCAGAAGAAATACAGCGAGATTTCCTTTTCCCTTTTTTGCTTTACATTTCCCTGGATGGAGACTGTAGTGGAAGAGGAACCCAGCTCAAACCAGAATGAAAATGTTGAACCCTGTTTTAGTTTTATGAGCATTAATATTAAAGGTAAACGCCGGTATTGTGGAACATTTGGTTTTGATAAAAGCAGATGTGGAAAATACAAAGGAGGTGTGGCTGTCTAGCCTTGCCAGGTTTTCAGGTGATCCTAAAGGCCTGATAGTGAGCTTTGGCTCTTGTATACCTTTCAGAAGAAACACGGCGAGATTTCCTTTTCTCTTTTTTGCTTTACATTTCCCTGCTTGGAGACTGTAGTGGAAGAGGAACCCAGCTCAAACCAGAATGAAAATGTTGAACCCTGTTCTAGTTTTATGAGCATTAATATTAAAGGTAAACGCCGGTATTGTGGAACATTTGGTTTTGATAAAAGCAGATGTGGAAAATACAAAGGAGGTGTGGCTGTCTAGCCTTGCCAGGTTTTCAGGGCAGGTCCTTGGGCTCAGAGCTGAGAGCATTTTCACTCTGCACCAGATCACAACACAAGTCCCGAGAGAAACCACCCTGGGTCCGGAGCCCCAGAAGGGACAGAGCTTGCAGCAGTCATCGCGGCCCTCCTGCTAAAGAAAGAGGCGCAGAGGGGGCGAAGGAGCCAGGCTCGAGTGTTATTTGCAAGCCTAGGCCAGAACGAGGAAGCAGGTGGATACTGTGATTCAGCCAGCCAGTTACACACAAGAAAATTCTCAAGCATCCTATACTCATTGAATTATTGAATGCATTTTTGTTCCCAGGATATTTTGCTAAAGTTACTAGAGATATGTCGCTGTATACATATGCTAAAGATACTAGAGGTAGTAGACATTTGGGAGAAGTGACCATACCGGGTTAGGCAAAAGGCGGTTTACAGTTGTGGGTATGGGAAATACAGCTTATTCCTGTATTATTATTGATTAATTATTATTTTCCATAGGAACAACTGTAAACCTACTTTTGCTCCACCCTGTATTTGAATATTTGATGGAGGAGAATTTTTTTTAAATTAAAAAACTTGAAAGTTTGCTTAAGAAAAGAAATTTCTAATAGTAGATGTTAGAACAGTGGGACCCTTCAGTCCGCAGGCCGACGCTCCATCCACTGAGCCAAACCGGTTTCGGCGATGGAGGAGAATTTATTCCCATTTAAAAAACTTGAAAGTTTGCTTAAGAAAAGAAATTTCTAATAGTAGATGTTAGAACAGTTTGAGTTTCTTTTTTAGCCCCTGGGTAGACGACGGTGTTCAGAAATGATGGCCGCATACCTTTCCATTTGAATAAATTTGATGTTTCAGATTTTCTGAGCGGTCTTGTTTGTATTTCTCTAGGATCAAGGGGGTTTGGGCATTGCTATCAGTGAAGAAGACACACTTAGAGGAGTCATCATAAAGAGTCTGACAGAGCACGGGGTCGCGGCCAAGGTGAGGCCTTCTTCCCCTTTTCACATCAGAAAGTGTGGAGGAGAAAGTTACTTCTGCAGAATCATTCAAACGTTCCATGCTTCCATTTAGGATGGGCGGCTCAAAGTTGGAGATCAGATCTTGGCTATCGATGATGAAGTTGTTGTTGGCTATCCTGTTGAAAAGGTACTTTTTTTCTTAAAACAAAACAAAACAAAACAAATTGTGCTGTGAACCCATCCTTAAGCATGGCCACAGTATGTGTGTGTGCGTGTGTCCCTATGTTTGTGTGTACGTACAAGGGTCTGTGTGGTTGGCCATAGGAAATTAGAGCCATGTGGCTATAATAGACAGATAACCTTAAAGGAAGAGATTATTTGGAAGTTCTTCAATTTTTGTTTACTATTTTTCAGTGAAGGCAATGTTGAGCTATTTTATGTTGCCTGGTAAATTCAGTAGTTAGTGGATATTTTTTATAAAATATCATTTCCATCTTCCCTTAGGAAAAGTTTATACTTCTAAACAAGGGTCAACTTAGTGTTAAGACCAAGGAACACTTTTTATGAATGTTAGGTCCCATAACTAGCCACTATGCATATTGCTTTATAAACAGATTTTAGGACTCAGCCATTAAGTATGAGATAAAGCCAGCTGAAGTTAGTCCAAAAAATACGTATAACTTTTATTGGGATTAACATTTGTACCTGTGTTTCCTTTTCCTCAGAAGTGTTCATAATCTTTAAGAATCTCACTTGAGGCCTTTCATACAGAAGTGCGAGGAGCAGGCCTCTTGAGAGTCAGTGTGCAAATGCTTCCATTTCTACATTGGCCAGCAAGAAGCTGAAATCATTTGTTTCATTTCGTTTTAATTGTAGAGGTTGATCCTTTAACTCACATAACTTTCCATTTGACTTGATTTTTCTGTTGCATAGTTTTCCTTATCCTGCTTTTTGTTTCCAAATCTTTATGGAGAGTATTATAGATGTGCCCCCTCTCCCCCCATTCCTTCGCCTCACCTAGTTCCCACCCCGATTCCATTTTTTTAATGTTTGTGTAGGCTGCTTCAGATTCTCTGTAGAGTCGGGAGTGGTAAAATACCCCATATATATTCGGCAGTGATCCAAAGAAATGGATGTAACTAATTGGAAATATACAAAGTTGAAAGCTCTATCCTATATAATAAAAGCCTAATATGCAAATCGACCCAACGGCAAAACGACCGGTGGAATGACCACTCACTATGACGTGCACTGACCACCAGGGGGCAGACGCTCTACACAGGAGCTGCCCCCAGCCCACAGGCCCCAGGCCAGCCAAAGCGAGTGTCATTTGGGGCCCCCTGATCGCCCTGCCGGTCGCCCCACAGATTAGCCCTGATCGCTGGCCAGGCCTAGGGACCCTATCCGCGCACGAATTTCGTGCACCGGAGCCTCTAGTACTTAGATAAGAAAGAGTAGAGTCAGAACTGGACTTACAGTAGAAGGTAACTGTGGCCTTAATATTAGACAATTGAGGAAACTAGAATGAAACTATAACCATTCTTTCTTGGCCCCTCAAATCTTGACAAGGAAAGAATTTGCCTCTGACTTTTCTCTCCACCATAGATGGTTTTAGATTCCAACTATAATAGTGACTTCATTGTATGCATCTACTAATTTGTCTCTGAATTTTGTTTCCCCTTCACACCAACCCCCTGCCAGTTTATCAGCCTTTTGAAAACAGCAAAGACAACAGTGAAACTTACCTTTCGGGCCGAGAATCCAGAATCCCAGGCTGTTGCTTCAGCAGCTGGTACATCCAATGGTGAAAAAAAGAACAGTTCCCAGGCTCTGATGGTCCCACCACCTGGCTCCCCGGAACCGGAGCCCGTCCGAAGTAAGGGCTGGTCTCGTGAGTCCCGCAACCTGGCACACTCGGCGCACTCAAGCTCAGCGGCGCTCTCCACGGGGGAGTGGGAGCCAGCTGCCTGCCTGGAGATCAGTGTTTGAAAGGCCATAGTTAGGGCACCTGGTACCCTTTGGTGAAAGCTGGTATAAGGGGAAGAAAGAGTACTGACCATTAGACGGGTGATGTGTGTGCTGTATATTAACCAGCCTTAGGAAACCCATCCACCCTCTGAGTTTCAGCCTCTTCATCTCTAAAACAAAGGAGCAGTACCCTTCGCTCCCCATGGACCTTTTGCTAAGGGTACCTTGACTCTAGGTATCTGACTAATGAATTAAAAACATAGTTTCGTACATTTCTTTTTTTGTAAAATCCTCACCCAAGGAGTGAGGATATATTTTCCATTGATTTTTAGAAAGGAGGAGGGGGAAGAGAGAGACAAACATCAACAGAAGAGAGATACATCAATTGATTGCCTCCCACTCGTTCCCAGACCAGATGTGATACGTGCCCTTGACCAGGAATTGAACCTGAGACTCAGCCCTTGGGCCGGCGATCTAACCATTGAGCAAAACAAGCCAGGGCTGTCCATTGTCTTTTTTATACTGAGCAGTAATTTAACTTCATCTCAGTGTTTGAAATGGATACACTGTAAAATGGATACAGTGATGCCACTTCATCAGAGGAATCAAAGTTGCCTGGCACTACAGGAACCGCTTAAAAATGCTGGTCATTGCCACGGGTGTTTGTAGTCAATCCGAGCGCTGTCATTGGGGTCTAACAGTAGATCCTGTCAAATGAAATGGTTGTATGTGGCCCGGGGACAACACTTTTCTCCCATTAAAATGCCAGTCTAATATATTGGGACAAACTATTTCTTCCAGTAATCTTTTAAGAAAAATTACGCCAGCATTTACTAAAACAATACGTTTTAAGCTTTGCAGCATTAAAGAAAAGTACTTAAACACATTGACTTTTTTTTTGCAGTTGGTGAAAAAATCTCTTTTGGCTTCGAAACTGCAATATTCAGTTCTTTAGAAGTTTTTTAAGGAAATAGCAGTTTAGGTTATACATATCTAATGAAAGTGATTATTTCGAAAGACAGGGTATTTCAATGAATTTATTTAAATATTGAATGGAAGTTTTCTTATTTTTAATTTTATGTTGATCCCTAAATAGCATTGTCTATAAAAATATGAACTGCTAAATGAAAACATAACTAAAAGAAAACATCTTACACCTGCTCGTACCATTTCAGGAGCAAGAAAATAGTCTGTCTCCGAGTTCCTAAAAAGAGCATCTTGTCTATAAAGCTGCTTTACCAAGTGTCCCAGCTTTCCCCAAATATGCTGTTTGCTGCCTGCTCTTTGGTGTATCATTAAACACAGGCTATGAAGACTAGAATAAAATGAGGTGTGAACGTATGTTCACCTTGTTTTTTCATGATCTATTCTTGTCTATCCAATTATGAGCATATATGTAGCAGTATATAATATATGAGTTTATAAAACATCAAGTGAGATGCAGGAAAGACACTGTGAGTGCGTCTCACTTGACATTTTATAAACTCAGGTATTAACTAAGTTCAGCTGTGTAATGCTCAGACTGGTTGCAGAAGAAAAGAGACTCTGGGATAAGAAGAAAAGGCAACAAAGACAGAGAAGCCCTGAAAAGCAGGCGCCATGACCAAAATTGTTCACGTTCCTTGTGCTCTGTGCTCTTCCCGGGCTGTGTTTTAGGTCCTGCCACATACCTCGGTTCTGAGCTTTACCAGCCATGATTTCATAGGGTTTGTTTGGCTCCAGTGGAATGTAGAATATTGGAGTGGAACTAGAGGTTCAATTCAACTCTCTGTTCTTGTTGCTTTTTACATAGTATCTGTAGCAATGTAAAAGAAACAAAACAAAACAAACACACAGAATAGTGCAGAAAATAATTTAGCAGGTAAGTTTGTGCCCACTACTGTAATTAACAATGAGGATTTAATCATATTTGTTTGGTAGTTTAGAATGTCACTGAAAGATTAAGGTGACTTTGAAGTCTTCTTTGTCCCCAGTCTTGGGCCCATTTTTCTGCTCGTTCTCCCAAAGACAACCAATGTGGTGAGTTTACTGCATATGCCTTCTAATCAATTTGTATTTCATTTCATTTTTAGGTACAAGCAGGTCGTCAACACCAGCAGTCTTTGCTTCTGATCCTACAACCTGCCCCATTATCCCGGGCTGCGAAACAACAATTGAGATTTCCAAAGGGCGGACAGGGCTGGGCCTGAGCATTGTCGGGGGGGCCGACACCCTGCTGGTGAGGACACACCCAGAGATGCTTTGAGACACAGGCAGCCCCTTCAGACAGCCCTGAGAGCATTGTCAGGGAGCTTTCTATCAATTTTATTAAATGACATATAAAGGCTTAGAAAAATGAATCATTCTTTGTTATTTTCATTTGTAGGGAAAATATTTAAGTGGGTGGATACTGGGGTTTTTATTTTGAGCAGGCCAGTCTGACTCATGAGACTCTGTTAAACTTGTGGTTATGACCTTCAAGTTCAAAATATTTCTATGAGTTCACCAGTCCTTGCTGTGTTTTCATTTACTTCTTACTGATTGGACATGATTGGGTTAGACACATATTGAGAGGAATCTATGCATTATTCATAGGCAGATTTTTCTTTTTTATTTTATTTATTTAAATCCTCACCCGAGGATATGCCTTTTTTATTAATTTGGTAAGAGAAGCAGGGAGAGAGAAACAGAGATGTGAGAAAGAAACATCAATCGGTTGCCTCCCATACACTTCCCAACTGGGGATCGAAACTGCAACACAGGTATATGCCCTGACCGGGAATCGAACCCAAAACACTTTTGATATACGAGACAATGCCCAACCAACTGAGCCACCTGGCCAGGGCTAGGCAGATTTTTCTAAATGTCAGAAATGCTTGTGAAATCTAATCATTGCATATGTGGATAGGAGAAATGATGTATATCGGTTATATATGTGTGTGTGATTTATATATTTAACCACTTTTTTCTTTAAGCCTCCCTATCATTAGAAAGAAGTTTAATCTTCTTTGAGCCTTTTTGGCAAAAACATTGTTGTTATACTTTTCTTTGAATTTTGATATGTGACTCACGTATGGACCCAGTGAGTGTGTAACCCCTATCACTGTCTATAAAAATGCAGTGTGTTTTGACTCCATTTCTGCTCACCATCCCTGGGGAAAATGGGATAAAACATGGGTGTGTCTTGTCTGGGTCCTTAGGGTGCCATTATTATCCATGAAGTGTATGAGGAAGGAGCAGCATGTAAAGATGGAAGACTGTGGGCTGGAGATCAGATTTTAGAGGTACAGATGCTGTGTACTTGACCTTTACAGTTAACAAAGAAAAGGCTACTCTGGGGAGGGTGGTCTTTGTGTGTCTGTTTCTCTTTTCCTTCCCCCTTTCCCCCCTCACTTCCCCTCTACTCCTTTTCCTCCCTTCTCTCCTCTCCCCCCTCTTCCTTAATTTTCCTTAACTCACTGGGTTCCTCAGAGACCATGTCCCATTTCTGAACAGGTGAATGGCATTGACTTGAGAAAGGCCACGCATGATGAAGCAATAAATGTCCTGAGACAGACACCACAAAGAGTGCGCCTGACACTCTACAGAGATGAGGCCCCATACAAAGAGGAGGACGTTTGTGACACCCTCACCGTTGAGCTGCAGAAGAAGCCGGGGAAAGGCCTGGGATTAAGTATTGTTGGTAAAAGGTAAGAGAAGGGCAAACACAGTGACCTTTCAGAAATGATGAAATCTAAGGTATTTTAAAGAGAAGTAGCAGTAGTAACATCTTTATCAACAGCTAGTGTTCTGTAAGTGTGGAACATCCAAAGACACTGGTTTTGAACTTTTCCCGTGAGTATTTTGAGGGTTTTTGAAAGTACCCAACAAAAAGCTGTTTGTTACTTTTGAGTACCTACTATGTGCCGGGAAATATATTGGATTCTGGATTACAGAGTTAAGAAAGACATGGTACCTGACCTCAGAAAACTCAGTTTGGTGAGTGAGAATTAAATACATTCTTGTAACAAAGGAATCTGTTGATGAGTAACCGAAATGCATTGTGGGGATCCATGGAAGCAAAGGCGAAATGAACCAAATAACTCTATTTAAGGGAAGTAGCTGAGGAAAAATTCTTTAGAAAGAGGTGCCTGAGCCGAAGTTAGAAGTGGTAAATGATAGATGGTTTCTGAAAGGGGATGGAGGATATTCCAGGGAGAAGATCAGCGTGAACAAGAGCCTGCCATCAAAAAGTGACGGACAGTAACTTTAGAGGCTGCGGTGGCAGATTGGTGAATATACATAAGTTCAGTACCAAATTTATTTAAATATTTATATATAAGAAATATAAACAAATATATAGTACAGTAAGTTCCAACACCTTTATTCTGAAGATGGGAAAGCAGACGATCAGTTGGTGAAATGGCTTGAGGTCACGACCTTGGTAAGAGCAAGTGGTGCAGTTCACCTTTCAGTTGCCTTTGTATCTCAACAAGAAGTTGTTGGTTTATTTATAGTTTTGTTTTTTTTTTAATATTGGGATAGGTTAGTATTTGTTCATTTTACATAAATCTCTCTTGATTGAAAGTTAGATCTATAATGATTTAAAATAAAAGGCAGCACAGCAGGGGTACTTAAGTTTGGGGTAACAAACGGTCTTAGTTTGAGATACACATTTGTTATTCATTTTTAATAATGTTAATGATGTTGATGGTAACAGCAGCATATTTTTATAGGCACAGTTCTACATCTATTTAAGTCTTCATTATGATATAGAAAGAATAATAGATTTCGTACCCAAGGACTGACTCTTACATCTCATATTTTGCCATTTGGTAGCTGTGTGACCCATACAATGAGTATTGTAGTAGCCACTTCTACACATAGTATATAGTTGTTGAATAAATATGCTTATGCAAGACATATTTAATCTATGAAATCTATATATATAAAAGCCTAAGTGACCAAATGACTGGTCAACTGGTTGCCATGATGCACACTGACCACCAGGGGGCAGATGCTCAATGCAGGAGCTGCCCCCTGGTGGTCAGTGTGCTCCCACAGCCAGCCTCCCTCGGCTGGCCAACCTCCCTCAGTCCTTCCCCCCCACTCCAACCTGTTGCCCAGCCGGCCAGCAGGCCACCACCCCCCCCCCATTGGCCCTGATCTCCAGCCAAGCCAAGGGACCCCACCCGTGCATGAATTTGTGCACCAGGCCTCTAGTATATATTATAAGACATCAACTATTATTTATCATAAAAATTAATTCTAATAACATTGCCCCAGTATTGATTTGAGAAGAAAGAAAAACTTGTAAAAAGTAAATTTTTCAGTTAAAAAATTTCAATCTTTTATTAAATAAGCATTGCATTACAGTTGAGAAAAAGTAATGTTGAAAATCAAAATTATGTTTGCAGAAATGACACTGGCGTCTTTGTATCAGACATTGTCAAAGGAGGAATTGCAGATGCTGATGGAAGACTGATGCAGGGAGACCAGATACTGATGGTGAATGGAGAAGATGTCCGTAATGCCACACAGGAAGCTGTTGCCGCTTTGCTAAAGGTAAAAATCAAATGCCCAGAATAATTGTGTGCCATGATATAGAAGAAGGGGAATTTAACCTTGAGCTAGCTCAGTGCAACAAGTACTGACTCCTCTTTATTTAAAACGGTCTCACAAATAAGAGATAAGTAAGAAACTATATTTCCATAATAAATAATCTGCCATACACAAAGTCTTCATGTACATGAGGTTTGTTGCAGTGTTATTGGTAATAATAGAAAAACTGGAAGCAATACAGTTGACAAAACTATGGCAAGGGTGCATGGCAAACTTATCTGCTTAAAAGTCATGTTCAGGATAACTATTAATTAACATAAAAAACATAGTAGAGAAGGTGAAACAAAATTTTAACAGTGTACAAGCATCTGTGTGAAATAAAATCTTATAATAAGTCTTTTAACAACAATTCTGAGGTGATTATCAGAACTATGAAATCCTTGGTTCTCCTTTTTTTCATTTTCATAGTTTTCTAAAGAGGATGAATTGCTTTTATAACAGAAAATTTGACTTAATTTTTTTTTTAATTTCTTTATTGATTTCAGAGAGGAATGGAGAAGGGAGAGAGAGAAACATCAATGATACGAGAGAATCATTGATTCGCTGCCTTTTGCACACCCCCTTGGCCGAAATCGAACCTGGGACCCTTTAGTCCGCAGGCCAACTCTCTATCCACTGAGCCAAACTGGCTAGGGCTAAAAGTTTTTTATAATAACAGATTCCCTTGACATTTAAATGAGATATGTTGCAAGTAGATGAAAGAGTTATAACTTCTCACATTGAATAATTAATGCATGGAATTTGTTAACCCCTGCAGCTGTGTAAGCTGGAAGTATAAGTAGGTTCAAGAAGAGTTTGATAAGTTCCTGCCCCTGCCCCCAAAATACCAAACAAACAGAAAAACAACTTACGAATAGTGCAGGTCAGGTTTTGACTTTTCGAAATTTGATTTGTGATCAATACATTTACAAGTGAAACATCTCTTGTAACCCCTGTCATAGAAGCAGCATGATAATACCTATGGAAGTACTAATTTGTGCTAGACACTGTTCTAAGTTATCCTATCACAGCAATTTAGAATGGTCTCCATTTTTAAAATGTAAAGACTTATCAAGCTAGACATCTATTAAGGTCTCACAGCCAGTAAGTCACATAGTCTAATTTAGAACAGTGTGTCTGACTGCAAAAGCCCAGCCGCCCAACACCCCCTTGAGCTGCTTCCACACCAGAGACTGTGTAGCATTTCTTGCAGCCTGTGATGTAATGCCTTTCCCGTAAAGGGCCACGGGGACATGGTCTTCAGTCCTTGTTTTGTGCTTATGGTAACGTGGCTAATTTAAGTATTGTTTATTCAGGAACAGTGGAACAATAGAGAGCTCAGCCATTTATCGGAGTATCTCTGCTATTAAGAGCAAAACAAGTTGCTTTATTGTTTGTTTTGTTTTTAGAACCTGAGTTATTTAGTTCATTTAGCCTATCTAAATCAGTGTGTTTCCTGAGATAATTGCCCAGTTCTCAGTGTAAATTATGAGTCTCCATGTAAATTATGAGGTCATACGACAGACATTTGGTGTGGCTGTTGCTGCTTGTTGTTACTACTTCGACTAATTCTTTTTAAAAAGCGTCTTTCTACAAAGCTTTGAAGGTATCCTTGCCTGTGGAAATTCCAAAAGGAACATGCCTTTAGAAACTCAGTCTTAAAGAGTAAACAGTGCTTCTAAAGATGACTGTAGCACTTTATTTAAACATTTCCATAAACCCACTGCTCCCCCAGTGTTCCCTAGGCACAGTGACCTTGGAAGTGGGAAGAATCAAAGCTGGACCATTCCATTCAGAGAGGAGGCCCTCTCAGAGCAGCCAGGTAGGTAGCTCTGGGATTCCCCTGGGCACTGCAGGCCACACAACCAAAAGGAACTCAAAGATGGTCTTGCCTGTGGGCTGGTTCAGGGTCGTGGACACAGGCCTGGCTCTCGGCAGCTGGGCACAGTGTGGCGCAGAGTTTGAGATAGGGAAGAGCAAGAGCTGAAGGACAGGTAAGCAAGGTGTAGCTCTTGAGTAGGGTGTAAGTATTCTAAGGGTCTTAATTTATTTTCTGACATTTATTTTTTTCCCTAATTTCAAAAGTTACCCAGTTAATGTAGGAAAGCCTACCAAGGTAATCTATTTTTAAAGTATTTTATAATTAACATTGATCCATCAGTACTCAACTGAAAAGAATCCCAGGTAAGTGAACTGCAGATGCACCTCACACATGTAAAAGACGGTGTTACACAGTTAGGGCTCCTGTCAGCCCCTCCCCTCAGTCCTGTCTTCTGATGATAGGAGCCCATTTTCACCAACGTGTCCATGCAGACCCCTTGTTCACCCCTCGCTGGCGACCATCAGTTTCCTGTTGACTGGCCCCAATTCTGTCTTGAAGCCCCATCTATGCACAGCATCAGTTTAAATTTAGAGGATTAGCTTGAATGAGATTATGAAAATCCACTAAAACTTTAGGTAGGCTGGAATCCTTTTCATCCACCCTTTTAGCTTCAATTTATTTAGGTCAGTACACAAAGTCTTCCTTAAAAAGAATATAAAATCAATAGAAACTGCTTAAATGCCCATCCCGTTATCAAATGCCAGTGTTAATTAACAGGTGTTTCTCTCTAGATGCATAGGAGAATTGAATTCTGAAATAAGTGGCGTGGAGGGGCTATTGTTCTTTCACACTCTCTAAAATCACTGTTTTTCGTGTGTAGATGAGCGAATGCAGCCTGTCGTCTTTCACGTTCCCGCTGTCTGGGTCCAGTGCCTCCGAGTCGCTGGAAAGCAGCTCAAAGAAGAACGCATGTAAGATTGGTTGCATGTTTAAGCATGATTTACTGGTTTGATTTTGACAGATTTTCCTTCCTGCTTTAATTTACCTCTGAGCTCTCTTTCCCCCAAATCATTCCACATACTATTCCAGGTGGAAAGATGTGTGTTGGCAAAAACTCAGAACAACGTGAAGCTCTGCCTACAGCAGCTTTTCCCGTCTTATGTTTACCCTACAAGACATACCAAACATTAGAATCGCATTCTGTATTTTTTTCCCACTGAGCCTATTGGTATATTTGATTTTTATTTCCCTTCCCTGTTTTATGTAACACCGATTAATCAGAAGATGCCATTAAGAGAAGCCTTCTTTTTCCATGAGGACTGCACAATTTTTGATTGAAAAAAATTAATATGATCCTCCTGTGTTTTAATTACATGAAATCATGATGCAGAGGGTTTTTGGCTTGGAGCATCAGTTGAAAGTTGTTCAAATTGAAGAAACTAACCATATGGCATTCTCTGTTTGCAATATGACTAATATTCTAGAAATTTAGGCATTTCCGTCCATGAATTCTTTTTAATGCACCCATGACTTTATTCCTCTCAGCTGTGCACATGTGTCTTTCTGTCCAAAACACATTCTGTCCTTGTCTCACTCAAAGGGGATTATTCAGTTATATAACTCGTGCTTGAAATAAGAAGAAAGAAATGGGACAGTGTGTGCATTTTTCCAACTGGAGAAATAGAGTTCTCATGTGAGACAGACTTAATCATGGTTTCTAGCAACTTTAGAGCCCTTAAAAAAAAAAAAAAAAAAGGGTGTGTCATTTAGTCCCATCCAGCTCCAGACATTGACTGAATTTTTTAAAAGCTTTAATAACCATATTTTGTCTTTTTCACCTTTTTAGTGGCATCAGAAATACAGGGATTAAGAACAGTTGAAATAAAAAAGGTAACTCGGGGGTTTGTGGGGGGAAGAAAACAGTGCAAACCCTGTTGACTTCAGAGGCACCTGCATAGATGTTTTCCTAGAAACTTTTTACCCGTCTGAAAAGTTACGTACGATACACAGGAGAAATAGTCAGTCTTTGCTGAGTTTTCTCATTGTAGTTCCTTGTTTGAAAAGTCATTTGTTGGCACATGCTGTGTTGTCAAAAACGGCATCAGCGCAGCCCCGACCTCACACTGATGAGTAGGCCGTTGCCTTCAGCAGATAGTTCCTATTTCCAGATACAGATTCCCTGGCAGCCGTGCACCAGAGAGAAGATAAAAGCAGCTACAATTCCTTGAGCCTTTGCTGTGTGCTGAACACTCTTACAGACGCTCTGTGCGCCCCGTCACCCTCTCATTTACTGTGCACTGCAGCCCTTTGTGAGAGGCCTGTGGTCGCACTTTGTGAGTGAAGGTCTAGTGTTCATTGAGAGGAGGGGACTTGTTCCAGGTCCCAGTGTCTGTAAGTGGGGGTTCCTGGCTCTGAACACAGGTCTCTCTGGTTGGAAAAAGCGTGCCCTTTTCACTTCATCAGCTTACCTACTCTTTGTCAGCTCACAACATGATTTTCACTTCACGGGTATGGTTTCTTTCGCAGACGCTATTTCCCTCACTAAATCACACTGAGGACCTGTGTCAAATAAAGTAATGCAATTTTTGAGCTTCATTTTTCACCCTGACACCTAGAGGATCTGTTAACTATAGAATATTGTGCCAAAGAAATCAGAAGTCAATTAAAATATTATATTGACCCAAATACTCTCTCTATCCCATGGCAGGGGCCTGCTGATTCACTGGGAGTCAGCATTGCTGGAGGAGTGGGCAGCCCGCTTGGTGACGTTCCTGTATTTATTGCAATGATGCACCCAAATGGGGTGGCAGCTCAGACCCAGAAACTCAGAGTAAGTTGAACTAATGGCCCTGGTCGCCCTTGCGAATTTGGCAAAAGTTTTGATAAACCTTTTGAATCTGCCACCAGTTGCAGGCAGTTTTAAATGTCTGTATCTGCTTTTAAATCAGCGAATCCAACCACAGCAGGGCTTGCTTTGAGTAAAAGACGCAGAAAAGTAAAAGAAAGGAGAATTTGCTATTGCATGCAAATTTGCAAGCAAATTAAATGAGAAGATTTACTGTGGTTTCTTAAATTTTTTACTTGTTTAAAACTCTGTAGAAGAAGTTAAAAGAAAACAGGAAGTGTTTCAGAACACCAGTATGGGGTGAAGATGTTTTCCTTACACATTTCATGGTTTAAATGCTGATTGAACTTTATGAAGTTGAAAACGATCATTCGTGTTGCATCGGATTATCAGTTTTGAAAAAGTTCAATGTACAAGCATGGACAAAAGTAGGTTTACAGTTGCAATAAAAATACATAATACAATAATTCAGAAATAATAATACCAGAATAGACTCTTGTGTTTCAAGAAGTCACAAACTGCAGGCCTCCTGTAAATGTGACATAAATTGTCAAACTATACAAAACTTGCTTCCAAGTTGAGGGATTATCCAAACATAGAGCGCTGTGATGGAATTTATGCGAACCATTCGGTTGTGAAATCGTGAATATTCCATTTACGTCTATAAAGTAAAATCTGTGTGGTCTCGTGTCAAAATGGTCTCGAAACATAGCCACCTCTTAGTTTAAATAGTGTCTACATGGGGAATGGTCCAGTCTCCTTTGATATCTATATATATATGAACGACACTTAAAAATTGATTGTTACACACAGCACAAGGGTCAGACAACTGCTTAGCTCTGCCCCATGAATGCACCCAGGTAAGTATAGCAGACTTTGTTCACCAAAATAAGCAGTGGGTCAGACGTGGCCTTTGGGTCACAGTTTGCGCAACCCTGACTTATATAGTCATGTGTAATGTGTATAGTTATAATGTCCAGAGAAATTCTGGTTTCCAAAGAGCATCGGGTATCTTATTTTCTTAATAGGAAGCAGTGTCTTACCCAGGAGAAACAAAGAGAAGAGTGATTTTCCCCCTCCCCCTGGAGACTACAGGACTCAGTCATTATGTGTAACTTTGTCTTCTGGTTGCTGCTGCTTGGAATTAGGGGTTTCTTCGGGTAGATTCCCGTTGCTGATAGCAGTATATGTGTGATGTGTAGGGTGGGAAGGAAAGGATTGCTCAGGCCTCAGTGTCCCTCTCTCCACGGCTGCTTTTGCAGATGGCTGTTTCTTTCTCTCCCTCGCAGGTTGGGGATAGGATTGTCACTATTGGTGGCACTTCCACTGAGGGGATGACTCACACCCAAGCAGTTAACTTACTGAAAAGTGCTTCTGGCTCCATCGAAATGCAGGTAAGATTTTTCTCCCAAGCACAACCCAGAATATGGGGAGCTTGAGGACACATGAGCTTTCATGTTAAACCAGTAAAAACGCTTAAATCTGCTCTTATTTCTTTTACCGTTTCCCTTGAACATAAATGATTACGTTGAGAGTTCTAAGAGAGTAGGTTAGAAACACATTCTGTCACATTTATCCTGATGCATTTGTTGTTTCACACATTGTATCTAAGAGGGAAAAATGCAAGGTCTTAGCAGTAAATGGTCAATTGCCAGAATGGTGTAAGTGGCTTGTAATTCAAAGATCTTTAAAAATTAATTGCATGAGAGACCATATTTGAAACCATCAAAGATCTTGATAGAACTGAAGTAGTAAAATATCTTTACTGTCCGTGGAAGAGGCCTCTGGACCTTGTGAAATTTCTCTCTCTTTGGCTGTATATTATATTAACAAATGATTAAGTGGGCCATAAAATACATGTTTTAGTGCAAATGCTGCTTTTGAAGAAAGATTACTGATCCTTCGCCACATGAACTTGTGTTTTTCTCTGTCTCCTTCTCCTCTGCACAGGTGGTGGCTGGGGGAGATGTGAGTGTGGTCACAGGGCACCAGCAGGAGCCTGCCAGTTCCAGTCTTCCTTTGACTGGGTTGACGTCAAGCAGTATATTTCAGGATGACCTAGGGTGAGCTCGTATATTATGGTGTGTATGTTCCTACCACTCACATAAAGGTGAAATAACAGGAGATGAGGGATAAAATATAAAAAACAAGTGTTTCTAAACTTTTAAGTAATTATGGCACAGAATCATTTTATCAAAGATAGATAGATAGACATGCCACTGTGTATCTTACATTGTCAGTTCTGAGTTTTTGGGGAGTACATTTAGTCTTGATGTCACTACCCTGTGTGACATGGAACAAGCCACACCTATCCTTTTAAAAATTCCAACATTGCCTACTCAATCATCTTTTTGATTAAAAAATTCACAGTTATTCACCATGTGAGTACAAAAGAATTAGAACATAGAAAGAGAAGAGAGGAGCATATTAGCATTTTTAAATAATTTGATGCAACTTTTACATTATTGATCATTGATTTTTTTTCTTGGAGCTTGGGAATACTGGTGTTTATGACTTATTCCAAGGTGGTCCTCTATGCTTTAGCCCTCTCACTTTATTTTATTTTATTTTATATATTTTTATTGATTTCAGAGAGGAAGGGAGAGGGAGAGAGAGATAGAAACATCAATGATGAGAGAGACTCACTGATCGGCTCCCTCCTTCACGCCCCCTACTGGAATCGAACCTGTGACCCTTCAATCCACAGGCCAGTGCTCTATCCACTGAGCCAAATCAGCTAGGGCAGCTCTCTCACTTTAAATACACTGGAAAAAAGAATAAGCTTCTCCATGCAATGAGCACCTGCTGTGAATATGTTAGTTTAAGAGAACTGATAATGAGTAATAGAGTTAGGGTGTTAAATAGAATCTCATTGGATTATGTAAATTTAAAATGCTGAGCCCAGCACACACTGACTGACAATTCAAGCATGCCCAAAACACCCGTAATGTACTCACCATCAGTAACACAGAGAATGATGCTAGTTCTACATAATCCTTAACTTGCAGATGCACAATATGTAAATTCTTGAATCCAGACACTGTTTTTCCTTCCTTTTACTATAGACCTCCACAGTGTAAGTCTATTACACTGGACCGAGGACCAGATGGCTTGGGCTTCAGTATAGTAGGAGGGTACGGCAGCCCTCACGGAGACTTACCCATTTACGTTAAAACAGTATTTGCGAAGGTAAGATTGCAAATTTTAACCACCCTCTTCCCCCACTAAACATTCATTAATAGGGGTCAGCAGCTGGCTTATTAGTTTATGGCCCGAGGTAATGCCAAATGGTTAACAGTTGATCATTTTCTTTTGGAACTCCCTACAGGAATGGATCATTAAATATTTTTGTACAATTTGAGATTTAGTTATGTTTTAAGGAAAATAGGCTCAAACTGAAATTCCATGGGAATTCTTGACAATATACATAAAAATAGTAATGATCATTAGACAGTAACATCTGATTTTTTCTTTTGAAAACAAGTGGCATATGCCTGAATGTCTTTGGAAAATAGGGCACTTTATGTATGCTCTAATATGCTGGCATTTCTTTTTTTGGGGATTTTTTTGTTGTGAAATATAAAACAGGAACAGAAAAGTATATAAAATTGACATGCAGATTAACTAATTTGGCATTTATTTTGCAGTTTAATGCCATTGAATAAAAGAAAAATAATAACTAAAATATTTTGAAGAGTATCCAGAAGCTTTGTCACCTGTAATAAATCAGAATTTGCAATTAAGGGATTTAATTTAAAAAAAAATAAAAACCATTATTATAGTGTTGTAATTATATAGAAACCTGTTCTATGTTAAGAATGTTTAGAATAAGAAAGAATAAAGTTACTGTGGCTTTGGTGAAGTATTAAAATAATTTAAACCCATAGAATTATTGTTAATATGTTAAGGCATTTTTGAGGAGCTACAAAATTTGAACAAAATTTCCTATAGGAGAAAATCTAGAATCTGAAAATTTTACATAGCAAAGGAACACCACTTTTATCAAACCTATGAAATGATTTGTGACAGGGTCTTGAGATTAGTGCTGTGGTCCATAAAGTGCCTACCAATGGAGGTTTCATTCTATTATTTTGGAAAAAAATTAGTATTTTAACCAGTTTAAAGTACCATATATACAGCAATGAAGCTATAGACTTAATTTATGAGATTTTTAAAAGCCACCGGTAAGTCCAGAAATACAAACCACTTTGCCAGTGAATAGAAGAGTCACGCAGGCCTTTTCCTCAGCCTAGGAACAGTTTATTTAAGGCATGCTGGTTAGAACATATTTTAAGAATTTCATCATTATGGATTCTCATTAACTTCTCAGTATTTTAATCTTATATTTAATTGCATAAATGCCTTCCATAAGCATGCCTTAAGATGCGGTTCTTTTTTGAACAGCGATGTCTGTGTTTAGTCTTAATCATTAGGGCCCACAAAGAATATGAACACTCCACCTCCCCTTAGAAAGTAAAGTACCAGCAAGCACGAGCTGCCTTTTTAAAACCACAGAAAGAATTTATGTTAGAATTAGCAGGATTTGTGCCTTGCCCTGCCCCTTGTCAACATACATGTGGACTTTATGCTTCTGCAAACCTTTGGGTTTCACAGCCCTCATGCCCTTGTCCTAATTAAAAAACAAAAAACAAAAAAAACCCTGCTCTTGTTCCCACCTAATCCTTTGTTTTCTTTCTGCAGGATTAAAAAAAAAAATCCTAGATTCTATGAAATCATTTCTACTAGGCAAATTCCCAAATACTCTTTATTAATTTTGGTTCCTACCTGCTATGCTAAAGAGCCAAACAAACTATTCAGCTAATCTGTTGGCTGCTAAATTCTCTCTCAAATAGGAATTCCATTGCTAAAACCATGTAGGAGAAAGGTCTCCTTTGTGTATGCTCATGATTGCTGAGTGGCTGTGGAGCACCCCAGGAGCACGGAGAGCCGTGTGGACCTGCAGGTCCACTTACATTCTTGCCCAGGTCTTGTTCTGTTGTAAGCCTGTGAGGCAGCATTTTTTGAGACGTCAACGAGCCTCCTTTATATTTGCAGGGAGCAGCCTCCGAGGATGGGCGTCTGAAAAGGGGCGATCAGATCATCGCCGTCAATGGGCAGAGTCTGGAAGGGGTGACCCACGAAGAAGCCGTGGCCATCCTGAAGCGGACGAAAGGCACGGTCACCCTGACGGTTCTCTCCTGAAGCGGCCGCCAGAGTCGAGCCAACGCAACCCCTCGCTCCCACCCCAGCCTGCGGGGAGAACAGAACTGGCCCTGCGGGTGCCTCTCCCATGCTGTGTTCCTCGTGCTCTCCAAGGCTGTAGGGAAGCCACCATTCACATGTGTCACTCTCACGTGCCACTGGTTTTATAGTGACACGGGCAAGAATTATTACATGCTAAACTGGTTAGTAGAGGAAGAAAAAAAATAATTCTAAAGCTAACCAAGAGAAATGGCTTTAGTCAGGGTGAAAAATATAAAATAAAGAAGGAAATGTCAAGTTTTGTGAAAAACGCCTCGTTTTGTCAATCTACCCCTCTCCCTATTACTAACTTTAAAAAAAAAATTAGTTTCTTTCTATTAAAAATTTTAAAAATACCCAGTATTTAAAATATTTGAATATTATAAAAAATTGCATCTCCCACCTTTAACATACACATATATTGTTTCCTTTGAAAGTGGTTTCTGAGATGGAGGAAAGAGCCAATCTCTAAAGCTGTGTCCCTAAGTTTGTAAAGAAAACATTTGAGGCACATCGCCGTGGTCGTGTTCATTTTTGACCTGTTATAGAACACTCCTGTGATTCTACAAGTGAAATGATGGTGCCGCCCTGTACTGACTGTCATTTCTCTCTAAAGCAGCTGTGCTAGCTGTGGAGGAACATCGAAGGCTCTCAGCACCTCAGCGCTGGCTCTAACGGATGCAACACTAAAAACGTGTTCGCACGCTGTGCAGTTGGTTTTCAGTTAGTATCATCTAAATGAGAGAGAAAAAAAGCAATGTGTTGGTAGTTATTTTGCTTGTATGCCATTAGAAAATCGATAGAAAAATTAAAGGGGATTAACATAACTTTACCCCATTGCTTTATATTAACATCTTATAATACAATGGTTTCAGACTAAGGGAAACAGATGGAGCTGTTTATTGAGACAACTGGTGAGGAATTATCATGTGTTCATTCCCATTTTAGAGCGTGAAACTCCTACATTAGAATATATAAAGTCACTTTAAATATTATCTATATTTGTAACAGAGGTAGTGTACAGATATTTTATTGCAGCACTTTTGTATGAATGCAGAATTGAAGTGAATAAAGAAGTTTTCATGGTGCACGAATATAAAGCAGAATATTTTTGGTTGGTTTTTTTTTTACTGGGGAAAAGTTTTGTTATGTTGTTCAAGGTTTATAATTTAAAATTGCTTTTTATGGCATCATGTCTAACTGAACATGTGGCGTCCATAGTTATGATTAGGGGAACTTTGGACGGTGGTATTATGAAAAGCTCAATATTCTTTACATCTAGAATTGTTACTGATGCTGAAGACGGACCCCTCATGGAGCAGAGAAGATAAGCAGCTTTGTAGGAAGAAAAGTGTCTGCCCGGGCGTGGTTTTCAGAGACGCTGTTAATGCAGGAAGAAGTTGTTCTTTCGGGAAGTGCAAGCTGAAGTGTGTTCAGATGGCAAAGTCATCATGAAAATTATTGATATTAATAAGCATGAAATGTCTGTTTTGAACACTGAGCAAGGATGGGGAAGTTGTGTTGTGTTGATTCTGCCCTTAATTAGCTAATGAACATGTGCATTTCCTTTTATTTATCTCATCTGTAAGACAATAGCTTATTTTGTCTCAAAACGTGTGTCTAGATCTGAAATACAGGAATTCTGTGATTCTTAGTTACATAAAATGAATGGACAACTCTACACATGGGCCATTTGGGAGCTGTTCTCCTTATTAACCGATCATTGTAAACGGAGGTACTTGATGGAACAAAATTCATATTAGTATCTCAGTGACACATCTAGCTTCTCAGTCATCCCTTAATAGTCCTTCATCATGAAGGTATGTCAGGTGGGCCACTGGAAGCTGAGCTACCCTCCTTTGTAAGCTTTAACTAGCAAAGATTTTTATGAAGGACACTATGTCAGATTCTAGGGAGACAAGTTAACCAACCAAAGTAAAGTGTGAGTAAATGTGTGGGAGTATCCTAAGGAGAACAGCTCAGTGGGTATCTGTACCTGCCTGATACGTACCCCCAAATCCATGTTCATCAGGAACCTCAGACCGTGACCTGACCTGGAAATAGAGGGATAGAGAACTCCTGGGACCACAGTGGTTGGAGAAACAGGGAAGGATTTTTCTCTAGATTCTGCAAAGGGAGCTTGGACCCGTTTTCACCTTGATTTCACACTTCTGGCCTCCAGCACCGTGAAAGAATACACTTCTGCTGTTAAACGTTGTCTGGTTGGTGGTGTTTTGTTATGAAAGGCCTGAGAAACTAGTACAGTATTTTAAATATTTTTAAATCCTCAGCTACTATCATTGTGTCTGTCTAGTAGGAGAGGCTCTATACATTTTTGTTGAACATATGAATGACTGAATTACAGATTGTGATGATTCATTTCACGGTATTACCTTGTTTTAGTTAGCTTGCTCCAACCTGCATACTAAATGCAAAAGAAAAAGGAAAAAAAAAAACAGTGGGAATGCTACTGTAGGGATATAAAAACACTTGGGAAAAACTCCCCTTCTGAATTTCTGTTAATTAACAAATTGAAGCACATGAAAGGAGGGGGGAGGGGAGGAAGAAAGAAAGGGAGAAAGAAAAATATCAAGAGGAAAATAAGATAGATTCATCAGCTTTGGAAAGAAGTGACAAAGGCTTATGCTTTCTATATCATTTTTCTCTGGAAATATAAGAGTTCTATATAGTGAAGGAAGAAAGTGTTTGCGTGAAGAGATTGAAGGCATGAATTTTATAGTGTTAATGCCATGCACAACTCAAGACAGTGGGTTGACCGTAATTGCTTCAATATAATTGCTTATGCCATTAAATCACAATGGAGAATACCCCACATTTCCAGTGTTCTTTGTGACCCCTCCAAATGGCTGGTGGTGGTGGTGGTGGTGGTGGTGGTGGTGGTGGTGGTGGTGATGGGTGTGGTGGTGGTGGTGGTGGTGGTGGTGGTGGTGGTGGTGGTGGTGGTGGTGGTGGTGGTGGTGGTGGTGGTGGTGGTGGTGGTGGTGGTGGTGGTGGTGGTGGTGGTGGTGGTGGTGGTGGTGGTGGTGGTGGTGGTGGTGGTGGTGGTGGTGGTGGTGGTGGTGGTGGTGGTGGTGGTGGTGGTGTCTCCTTATTAACCGATCATTGTAAACGGAGGTACTTGATGGAACAAAATTCATATTAGTATCTCAGTGACACATCTAGCTTCTCAGTCATCCCTTAATAGTCCTTCATCATGAAGGTATGTCAGGTGGGCCACTGGAAGCTGAGCTACCCTCCTTTGTAAGCTTTAACTAGCAAAGATTTTTATGAAGGACACTATGTCAGATTCTAGGGAGACAAGTTAACCAACCAAAGTAAAGTGTGAGTAAATGTGTGGGAGTATCCTAAGGAGAACAGCTCAGTGGGTATCTGTACCTGCCTGATACGTACCCCCAAATCCATGTTCATCAGGAACCTCGGACCGTGACCTGACCTGGAAATAGAGGGATAGAGAACTCCTGGGACCACAGTGGTTGGAGAAACAGGGAAGGATTTTTCTCTAGATTCTGCAAAGGGAGCTTGGACCCGTTTTCACCTTGATTTCACACTTCTGGCCTCCAGCACCGTGAAAGAATACACTTCTGCTGTTAAACGTTGTCTGGTTGGTGGTGTTTTGTTATGAAAGGCCTGAGAAACTAGTACAGTATTTTAAATATTTTTAAATCCTCAGCTACTATCATTGTGTCTGTCTAGTAGGAGAGGCTCTATACATTTTTGTTGAACATATGAATGACTGAATTACAGATTGTGATGATTCATTTCACGGTATTACCTTGTTTTAGTTAGCTTGCTCCAACCTGCATACTAAATGCAAAAGAAAAAGGAAAAAAAAAAACAGTGGGAATGCTACTGTAGGGATATAAAAACACTTGGGAAAAACTCCCCTTCTGAATTTCTGTTAATTAACAAATTGAAGCACATGAAAGGAGGGGGGAGGGGAGGAAGAAAGAAAGGGAGAAAGAAAAATATCAAGAGGAAAATAAGATAGATTTATCAGCTTTGGAAAGAAGTGACAAAGGCTTATGCTTTCTATATCATTTTTCTCTGGAAATATAAGAGTTCTATATAGTGAAGGAAGAAAGTGTTTGCGTGAAGAGATTGAAGGCATGAATTTTATAGTGTTAATGCCATGCACAACTCAAGACAGTGGGTTGACCGTAATTGCTTCAATATAATTGCTTATGCCATTAAATCACAATGGAGAATACCCCACATTTCCAGTGTTCTTTGTGACCCCTCCAAATGGCTGGTGGTGGTGGTGGTGGTGGTGGTGGTGGTGGTGGTGGTGGTGATGGGTTCACCTTCAGCATTGACTGATATGTAACAGCATGAGTAGCAATGAGGTGTAGCCAGTCAGTGGAATTCATACATCAGAACAAAGGTTGAGATGGAAGCATAAAAACATTAAAATTCATGAAAGATGAAACAAGCTAATGGAGAGGTATTTGTTATTATTTGCTTGCTTGCTTAGTTTGTTTTTATGAATCTCAATCAGGCAGATTTTGATAGATTTGAAGAAGCAAAGGGACCCTACCCTGCTTCCTCTGCTCTGGTCAAGGAACTTGTCTGAGGATAAATGCTTCCCGGGGGTTGAGAGCCTTTCTTTAGATCTCTTGTGGGAGTGAATAGAGGAGTTGGAAGGATGCCTGCAGGGAGATGGGAGTAAATAGGTTTTCTTCTTTTCCTTTTTTGTGTGTCTAGGTGTGAGAATGTCAAAACCATCATCACCTGCTTTCAGCAGCCCTGGTGTGTTGTTTCATGTCAGCCACCACTATTCTGGAATGCATCTGATTTGTGCAGAGATGTTCCCCAACATTGTCTACTAGGCATGAATGTTTAAGGGAATATTTTTGTAAGCTGGGATTGGCCTCTTTTATATAAAGAGGAAAAAAGAAATGTTGGTGGCAAGAAAATTTCTCAATGAAAGAGCATGAAATTAAGCATAGCAAATGTTCTTAGAGTGATTTCTTTTTAAAATATATATATTTATTTATTTCAGAGAGGAAGGGAGAGGGAGAGAGATAGAAACATCAGTGATGAGAGAGAATCATCGATCGGCTGCCTCCTGCACGCCCCCTACTGGGGATCGAGCCTGCAACCCAGCCATGTG